TATGACACAGACGAAGATGTCCCAATGTTGTCGAAGAACAAGTTAAAACCAAATTGAGTGATTTCAATTTCTTCGAATATGTGAGCATTGATAATGCCATTCTTACAAGAGAAATGTTGACCGATGAGCAAATTATGGACTCGGTAACCTCATCTACAGCTTTAAGCGATAATGAGAAGTATTCTACTGTAGACACTAATGCTGTTCCAACCATTTCGGAAATGACAAAAAAAGTGTCAGAAACTCGGAATTTTCTACAATCACGCCAAGTTCCTAATCATATCTGGGAGTAATTTTGTGATCTTGAAAACTACATAAATAAGATCTATTTTTGCAGCAGAAATGTACAAACAAAAATTACAGACTTTATGAAGTAGATTTCAAATTGAATTTTGCTTATCTTTTTAGTCATACCTACTAACTTCTACTACTCTATGTAAAAATAACGAAATAAAATACACCACGTTTTTGTATTATTATTCGCTTATAGCGAACTCCGGATATAACGAACCAGTTTTAGTTCATTTTTCAAGTTCGTTATATACGGACTCAACTGTATTACTAAATTAATAGAATTATTCCTGTGTTCTGGTTTTATTGCTTTTATTAAAAATTGTAATTTGTAGCAACTTATTTTTATACAATAATAGCGACCGGCTTATTAGAGCATAAATTGCTTTTAATTTTTTAGTGTAAGTTAAATCACTATTTTAAATCATTATTTTTTTAATTTATTGATTTAGTCAAAAAGTTTTTGATTTATTTGTTAGGATACGGAAAACGTTTGAAAATTGATTAATTAAACCATTGATCAATTGCAGATTAATTTGCAAATGAATTGAAAAATTCGATTAAAAAATGAAACTAATATTCCTAAAATAGCTGTGCTTTAGTGAAAATAACGTTATTTTAGTTAAGTTACGCACGGAATCAAGTTTGTTTTTTAGTCTTTTAGACATATTTAAATTTAATTCATTAAAATGGTTTGCTTTTTATCAAAACTTATTTTTGAGTTGAGCGCAATACAGGAAAATGGTCCTGAACTTCGACAATTTGATGTTTGATAAGCGGTGTTTTAAAATTGATATTAAAACATTACACTTAATGGAGATAAATAAAACATAATATTGTGCCAAAAATACGCTCAAACATCCCGAACAATTCACAAAAATATTGTTTTTGGGAAAACCAATTTCTGTATAATTGAACGTGTCAATTCAAGTATGTTATTTTTTCTTTAAGAGTTTACGATTTCACAAAGCCAGTTCAAACTGTGCAACTGAAATTTCAAACTTTTTGGTTGAAGATCCAAAAAATCCGCCACTCATCTTCAGGGTCTCTTTAATCGAACAATCGAAGGAAGAAGTTTTGCAAATTCTCTAGTTTTTCTTTAGAATTATAGCTGTTTTTAGACTGTTGGAGGTGCTTCTCACTGAAACTCACTGAAACTCACTGAAACTCATGAATTTATCTTTTAGACGCAAATTTTTGTCGATTAACGCGGCAGATTTGAAATAAAATGAGATTGACTAAATCGTTTCTATTATGTTCTAAACAAAGCTGAAAATCGATGGATAAATAATAAAAAAAGAACTAAAAATTACTCATATAGGCACTAACAACCACTAAATGCATTTAATTAATTTTTCAGAGGAAATAAACAATCAACTGAAAGATACTTCTGCTAAAGCCATCATCACATTGTTGGATTTGTTCAAATTGGCGAAAGCTTCACTAATCGGACAAAACTTGCCCATAATAACAGTAAAATCCTTGGTAAGTTTATAAAAACTCAGTAAGAGCGAAGTCTAATACCGAAGGAAAACTTCGACTCTAGCCTGATCAGGCTACGCCAGAAGGGGCAATTGATTTCATAGAACTAGTGGAAGGCAAGGTGGACATTCCAGATGTTCAGGATATTTTGCCCTCGACTTTAGCCTTTTTGCCATATTCCAGTGGAACAACAGGACTTCCAAAGGGGGTTAAGTTGCTTCATTCCAACATCGTGAGCAGCGTTTGCCAAATAGAAGACCCGCATGTTAAACTGACCCCAACAACCACTGGTAACATCAGCGCAAATATTTCTCCCAATTATGCCAACAACATTTTTATTTCAGCTGCCTATCAAGCATCAATCCCCGCAGTAATTCCAATGTTCCACATCTACGGTTTCACTTTGATCACTTTGGTCCAGTTGGTTTGCGGTGCCAGAGTGCTGACTTTGCCCAAGTTTACTCCTGAACTATACGTGAAGACTCTAAAAACATGCAAGCCTCACGTTCTCTACTTGGTGCCTCCTCTAGGTAGGTACTTTGTTGCGTAAATTCCCATTATTGTAAGTAGGAACTGGAAATTTTCAGCCATTTTCCTTGCAAACCATCCCAGCGTCAGCAAGGAAATTTTCGAAAGCGTTCAAAGCGTCGTGTGTGGGGCGGCTCCTTTGGGCGGCATGGACGAAGAGCAGTTGCTGAAGAAAGCTGGAAAGAAGATGGACATAATGCAAGGTGATTTTGTAGAAAATCTTCTTAAAATCGAGGCATTAAACATTCGATTGCAGGATATGGAATGACTGAAACGTCTGCAGTGATTTTGTCCACCCGCAGGGACTTTAAAAACGTGATGGACTGTGCGGGTTCTATAGGTAGGCCTGTGGCTAACACCCAAGTAAAGGTAATTAGTATTGATGATCCAGAGGGCAAACCATTAGGTCCCAATGAATCAGGTACCATACGAACATGAACCTTCTTACAATTCTTACACATCAAAGTGCCTTTTAGGAGAGCTGTTAGTCAAAGGCCCTCAAGTTACCCCCGGCTACCATAACAGACCAAAGGAAACAGAAGATGCCTTTTTAGATGGTTGGTTACGTACGGGAGATATCACCTACTATGACGAAAGGGCGCTGTTTTACATCACTGACCGCTTAAAGGAATTAATCAAAGTTAAAGGTTTCCAGGTAGGAGCTGGTTGGTAATTTGAGCAAATGGTTGGCTAAATTTGGGGGCTTTAGGTAGCGCCAGCTGAACTGGAGGAAATCATCCGGAACCATCCCGATGTGGTAGAAGCGGGTGTTATTGGGGTACCGCATCCAACGGATGGCGAAGTTCCGAGAGCAGTTGTGGTATTGAAATCGGGCAAAGATGCAGATTTAGAAGCAATCAAGTCGTTCGTAGATGGAAAAGTGGCTGGATTTAAGCAGCTGAAAGGAGGCGTTGTTGTGGCAGACAGTATTCCCAAAAATGCGTCAGGAAAAATACTTAGACGAGAATTGAAATTGAGATTTACTTAGTGATTTGTTTGATATTTGTTCTTTTTATTAAAGCTATTTAAATAATAATTGGAATATTCTTTTTAACGCTTTACTTAAAAAAAAAATGGTGTGCGTCACGGGACGCTCGACAGAAGTGATAACTTCATAAATTAATAGGAACCATAAAATATTGAACTTGTTTAACGCATGATAGCAATAATAATTTTAATATTCTTGTTAGTCTAATAATTTATAAATGGATCAGGAATAGGTAAAATTTAATTCAATTTCCTTTTGAATGTAAAATATCTTTTTTATTTGCCACATTTAACATTCTTTAACGAGATGTTGTACATATTGCTCTTCTTGGGTTTGTGTAAACTCTTCGTCTTGAGTTTCTGTATTTTTTTGTCGTAATTTCTTATTTGCTTTGTATAATCTTTGACGTTCAGTTGACAAAAGCTACTTTGTGTTGATCTATTACTTAATGCTTCTTTTTTAGCACGAAATCGTTTTTGGCGTTCAGCATTACTTAATACTTTTCGCATTATAGCATGTTTTTGTGACTGCTCTTGTGTATGTTATTCATGAACGTCTGCTACAACTTGTATCTGAATAGGACTAAAAAATCAATTAATTTTGGTGATTGGAGACGTTCTATCTGTTTAAAATAGACGGTAAAACGAGGAAGAGCCATAGAAACAGGATACACTTGACACACTATAT